CGTAATAGTTTTAATTCTTCAAATAAGACAACAAATACAATGTGAATGAATTTTGGATAGTCATGTATGTTTTTGTTGTTGCTTTTGTGTTTATTTTTGTTGTAAGTCCATTTAATCTTACTTGCGATCAACTATGTCGCAAGAAAGATTAAACGGACTAGCTTTGATTTCAATTGAAAGTGAACTTCTCAAAAAACTTGATTATGAACATTTGATTGATGATTTCTCTTCTAAAAATTCAACAAGATCAATTTTCAAACATTAGTATTGTATTGACTGTGTTTTTTTTCTTTTGGGGGAAAAGCTCCCGTAATAGTTTTAATTCTTCAAATAAGACAACAAATACAATGTGAATGAATTTTGGATAGTCATGTATGTTTTTGTTGTTGCTTTTGTGTTTAATGCAATATAATTTAATTTGTTAATGAGATTTGTGTGCAACTACTCTTTAATTTGTGATTGCCAATTTTTTTTCCTATTAAACACAGATTGCTTATTGGAGGCAGCAAGGGACCTTATAGGAGCACAAGGAGCTTATTCTTGTACCAAACATTTAACTTCATCAACTGGAAACATTTAAATTTTTATGAATTTAATTTTTGATTGTCATTACATATTTATTGATGGTGACTTTTAGTTATAAAAAAATTGTTTATAACATTAAGTTATGACAAATTTTTATAGTATTTTCATATTAGATTATGTGAGGTCCCAATTTAAGTTTCGCACAAGGCCCTCAAAATCTGAGGAACAACCATGTGCCTATAAATAGTAGACACTAAAGATGAATACGACACTTGAGCATTGAGCTATTGAGAACTACTCTTACATCTCATATACTTTCTCTATTTACTTTTACAACATATTTATCTTTTATGATAATTATGTATAAGGGTAAAATAGATTATTCATATGTAAACTTAGTTGGGTTAAAAAATAGGATTGTTGGGTGGGAATAAAATCACCCTTAGATATAAGCTTGCAAAAGCCTTGGCACCAAACTCAACCACATTATGGGCGCATGTAAAGCACCTATTCCCCATCTTCTCATGACCTGTTCTTCTTCATTAGCTCAACCTCCAAACCTAAAATCCCTAAACCCCTTTTCCAAAACCCCATTACTGAGCAGGCGATTGGTCCTCTTCACGCTCCCTCTAGCTACTTTTCTGCTTCCAAGTAAAGGTAGTTGTGGTGACATCAGCAGCAACAGTATTGATGAAAATTCAACCCCTTCCGGTTCTTCTTCTGCTCTGTCAAACTTCGACCCGATAAGCGCTGCAGAGAGAGACGCAAGTGATGCGATTTCTAGGAGAATATCTGATGCCTTGGAGTTGTTGGAGAAAGGGAGGGAATTGCAGGCTCTCGGTGATTTTAACCAAGCTCTTATCTGTTTTACTCAGGTACTCACTTTAGATTTTGCCTCAATTCGAATTCTTTGTATGCTTAATTTGGGTTCTTTCGAAACATGGGCTTTGGCTAATATTTAGTTTCTTTGGAAACATGGGCATTGACTAATAATTGGGTAGCTATTTTTAAGCTCTCTGTTGGAAGTTAAAAATGGCAATTATTATTTAGCTTAAAGCAGCTGCCATTGGTACCATTTACCTGATTCTATAGTTAGAATTTTATCAATCATACAGAAATCAAGTGACTGTCAATGATAAAGGAACAGTGTCCATCGAATGAAGCCAATGGTTTCAATGTCAGATTGTCATGTGACCCACTTAACGTTAGGCTAGGAAGATGCAGGTCAAGTGTCAAGCCGTATGTGCCTTCTCAAATATTTGTACGTAAGACGTGTTATTCCTGTGATTTCTGTGCAGTTTTTTGGGTCAATAATAGGACAATGATTTCTTAGTTCATATTCTATTTAAGAATCAAATAAAGCTTAATCCAATTAGTTCATATATGTCCGTGGAGGTGTGTGGATGGCCATATCCCTTTGGTCTGAGCTGGATAGGATACAGGACGACCTGCCATCGCGTTTTTATCAAAGTAGTTTTCAGATTTTGAACTGATATTTCCTTTGGCTCCATGTCACGTGCTTGGCAAAGCCGGACCTACTTGGAAGAAACAAAGAAATAAATAAATAGAAGATCCAACTTAGACAAGCACAAGGCATGGCTTAAATGTAGTTCACCCGTTTTTATTTCCTATTTCATATTCTGGTCTTCTATTTTGTAATCTTTATGGATTGTCTTGACGTCTTGAAATGTGCATATGTCATGTTTCAGTATTTTGACAATGCCACCTTCTACTCTCTGCCTGTCCAATTATTTCAATCCCCCTTTTTCTTCCCCTCCCAAATTGAACTAAACGGAAACCAACTCATGTTATAGAATTCATTCATCATGATGGTTGTATAGTCACGTGGTGTGACATAAGTGTGCAATAGGAAGAAATTTGGATTTTTTATCTCTATAAAAGTCCAAATTATGCTGTGTGTTTTCTTTTTCGCCGCATTGTTTAAGTTCTCTGTGAGACCTTTCAGTAAGGAACCATTTTGCACCTAGTGGTTAATGGGCAGAACCAGCAAAGGTTAAGAGACGTATATAAGCTGAGTTTAATCAAGAAACATTGATTAATGAAAGCCCAGAAGCATACTAGCTGCAAATTGTTGATCAAGCCAGGTGTAGGATGATGTGGTTCTTTGGGTCAACCATAATACCGGTAGACCTGAATTATTTCTTATTTCATGCATCACATTTGTAGTTTCTACTTGACTTGCCCCAAAAAGCTTAGGCTTTATATCATTGACGTTGCCTGTATATCTTTTCAGGTGATTGAGAAATACAATGACTTTGCATTTTCAGACTATGCAAGAGTAGGCAGATCATTGATTTTGTACGAGGTGGGCAACAGAGAAGAAGCAATTGCAGAAATGGAGGATGTTTCTATATCTTTGAAGGGATATCCAGGTACTTCAGTAAATATTGCATTCCTGAGCTAAGCAAAGGAAATTCTCATCAATTCTTAGTGAAATCAGTTTTGTTGGGTTTACTGCAGAAGTGCATGCAGCTCTAGCAGCAGCCTTGTATGCGGACAAACATGCCCCACTCCTCGCAGAAAACCAGTTCACAATTGCAACTCTTCTTGATCCTCACTACACGGATCTCTCATATGTAAAAAAAACAAAACATTGGCCTCCAAGTTTGGTTAGTTCATTGTATCACTTCATCACACTTTCCTAGAGACTGGTATAGTAGAATTATGTTTGATGTAATTCTATTATGAACCAAACAGTCATGCTCATGTTTGAAATCTTTTGGTAACTTGCAAATTGTCAATATTTACACTAAGATATGTTTTCATTGTAATTACAGCTGTCTTATATAATGCTTCTCCTTTTTGTTTGGCTACCATTCTGTTCTAATATCATGGCTATCGCAGCGATTAAAGACAACTTATTCCTTTTTATTAGTATTCTCATTTCTTTTCCATTTTATCATAATCTTAACGCTTCATTATGTACCAGTAATTATTGTTATACACCTTTGTTAGTGTAGAGAGTGCAAAGATTTGTAACGCAATTGTGAAAGATGTGCCTTCGCCAAGCTAACAAGAAAACGTGAAAAAGTTAAAAGTTCCTGTAGGTAAACTCATTCATGGATTTACTATTGAAGATACCTGACATTTCATTTCCCTTGGAGTCTGAGTATTTCCAGTCTGAATCATATGCATAAGCATAAAAGATGCCATAGCAAAAATTGAAAGAAAAAAAAAAACAAGGTAAAGCCTGCCTAATGATATGAAGAATCATCATTCTGATGGTGTACAGTTCATGTATAAACTCATCATATGAAGTTGTTTGAGACTCTATTTTAACATTTCTTTTAGGCCAAATTGCACTTTTGGTCAGTGTAGTTTTAGCAGTTTTCCGACTCTAGTATGTAGTTTTGGCTAATTTTAGGCCTAGTTTGGGATTGCTTTTTTTGGCCAAAAAACTGCTTAACTTTAAAGTTAAGCAATTTAAGATGTTTGGTAAAAATAAAATGGAAATTGGATAAGGCAGTACTTGCATATCTTGTGCATGACATTTTCGACTTTTAATAGTGCGGCGACATTGTGAGAACATGCACAAAATGACATTTCAAATTCACTAAGAACCCTAAAACCCCAATTTACAGACCTAAATTTCATAATTTCTCCAATTGAGAACATGGAGACACTTTCCCGTAAAGTCGGGCACTTGAAATGTTGAGAAGTTCTACACTCAAGACATGCATGTGGCCATCATTCCATCTTCTTTCAATGTAACGTTGTTATCGACTTCACTGAGTGTCAAAGTCAGAAATGCACAAACTGGAGGCGCTCCACGTTTGAAGTATGGAATGCTGTTTGGTAATGTAGCATTGCTTTTGTTTATGGAGGAGCAAATGCTATCACCTTTCGCCTTGCTTTTGAGCCAAAAGGTGCACCATCATAACTTCGGTGCCCTTCCTCATCGAAAATGTGGACTTTTATCACCTTTGAGTGTTTGACCATGGCTTTTGAAATCACGTTTTACCTATATAATCTTTTTATTTTATTTTATTAATTTTATGGATTATTTATTTTCTTCATGTCCGCATTCATTGTAAGGAAAACATCGCATGGTTGTTTGGCAACTACTCTTTTTTATTTAGTTTGGCATGCTTGAGATGGGTAACCCAAAAGGGTTTCTTATGTAAAACTCAATGACGGGATCAACTCTCATATTTGGAACCACTGGAACAACGTTTCTAATAGGTTTTAGTTTATAGAACACTAACAAATTTGTGACAGAAAAAAATGCCGGCGTTTGATATAAAGTGCGATTCGATCGGCAAACCTTGTGTTTCTTTTTTTTCTTTTTTTTTAATTCTCTTCTAAGTCAGATATGTTTATATATATGATAGTATAATTCGTAGTAGCATGGTGTAATTCACAGATAAGAACTCAAAAAAAATTGAGCGGATGTAATTCTGTTTTCTTAGATCCTGTGTCTTTGGTTAGTGCATTAGTTGGTCACATGAGCAAAGTTTGTAAAGTTATCTTGTTTAGCAATTATTTGTTGGCCTGGATTTTCAATGAGTCATGAACTACAGGCATACTGATAGTTTGATGTCTGTCTCCACATGGAGACCAAATATACACAGAAGCCCTTAGAAACCAGATAGGACTTGTATAGACATTAATTAATTACTCAAAAACTTTAGAAACTAAGCCTACACAGAAGCTTTTGATGACTGAGACGACTAGTTGGTTCTTCTGAGGAGCTTGAGCAGCATTCTTGCCTTTGTTTTGGTCCGGCCGCTGCACTGGCTCTGCAGCAGCAACAGCAACTGAGTCAACACTCCACCACTGATGGCTTCTTCTCGCGCCAATAAAGAGTCATTGCATAGAATTATTAGACACCCAACGGCACTCTCACTGCCTTGGTGATCATCCGAAACCCTGAAAACCATCTTTACAAGAGCATGAACGCCATTCAAATTATTATTATTATTATTGTTATTGTTATAATTAATCACTGCCTCTTTTGCACTCTGTAATCCTAGAAGCTTCTCAAGTGTGGCCATTGCCAATGGTGCCAAGCTTCTTTCGCGTCTTTCTGTGCTTGAATTAATATATGTTATGAGTCCGTTTACCACGCCCTGTCTGACCAGAATCTCTCTGTTTTCTTCCAAGGAAGATAATGCTGATATGGCTTTGATTCCAGCATCTGCAGCCTCTGAATTTGAATTCTGTTGAAGCAACTGAACCGATATCCGATGCAAGAGCTGATGGTTCTTTCCAAACATATAACAGAGTTCTTTTGTCTCCGGGGATGTTGATGTTACCTCTATGAGACGGCACAAACTCATCCTGATCAAGGCAGTGCCGTGAGCAAATAAAGCTTGGAAGGATGCTAATTTGCTCTCTTCTCCGAGCATATTCAGTGACTCCAATTTGCCGTGAGGTAGCAGAATTAGAGTGCAAGAAAGTGCATCCTCCACAAACTTTATATAGTAGCACTCTTGAGGGAGTTCCTGTTTCAGTTTCTGTTTGTGTTTGGCTTCTTCTCCTCCAAACACAAGTTCTAGAAGTAGAGGCAAGAATCCCAACTGCAGGAACAAATGACTTGTGTAGGGTGATTCTGATTGGGACAAAGCTCGAATCTTTTCGAGTGCTTGAACCTTGCTTTTTAAGGTAACCTCATGGGATTCAAGGGTGTGTTTGAGTGAAGCTAAAGAACTAATTGTTTCCAAGTAATCAGGATCAAATTGGTTGCCCATTTGCAGCCACTGATTGATGAAATGGCGAAGAGTGTGATTAGGCACAAGGGCTGGATCATCAAGTTTCTGCATTGTGACTGGACATGTGAGATTGCCTGCAGCCAGCCATTTTTCTATGCTTGGCCTGTCGTAAGTTTGACCTGTGCATAGAGTGACTGGATCTTTGAACAAGTCCAGGCTAATTGGGCATCTGAACAAGTGGGGAATGGTCATCTCATCAACTTTTCTCATATGAAAGCAAAACCTAAGTGACGCAAAATTAAAAAATGCAGAATGTCTGATGAGATGTGAGATATTATAAGTGCAGACATGAGGAGAAAGAGAGAGAATGTGCAGATGCATACAAGAAGAGCCTCAGAGGAGAGAGTACTTTGTGAGCTTGGAGTTCACAAAGTAACACATGAGAATGAGACTGAGAATGAGAAAGAAAGAGGAGGAGAGAAGTAGGAAATTTGAGTGCAATCAATCAGTGGGAGGCATGAGAAGAGAACAACAGCAAACAAACAGAAGAGGGGGCCAAGCCAACATTAACATGATATAGGCCACTCTGTATCTTTATCCTAGCCAACCCAGTGAAGAAGAAAGAAAAAGAGTGAGATTTCAACTAACAATATAGAAGAATAATTGGGGGCGAATGGTCCCCCCACGTCTCTCCTCATTTATTCATTCAGTCAAACTGACCCACCGTTTGAATATTTAATTTCGTTGAACTTTGAATCCCACCAATACGACCTTGAGAGAAACTAATCATGCGTGCGTGTGACCGTGTGAGAAAGTTAGAGAGAGAGAGAGAGAGAGAGAGAGAGAGAGAGAGTGGCAATTATAAAGAAATCACATCAACAAAACTCTTGTTCATGAACAGAACAAGCTCTGCTTTATCACTTGGTTTTCTAACCTTTTGTAATTTAGTCAAAGGTTAAAAAGACGATAAGAATTATGTATGAGTTTTTTATTATTTTGGAGAAAGAATTATGTATGAGTTAGAAAGGAAAAGGCCATACCTACGATTCACGTCTAGGATTAGACAAATCACTACATTCATGTTTGGGCTTGATTTTTACATAACTAATTTTAAGCTCTTATTGGGCCAAATCCTGGCTCGGGCTTTGATGTTAATTTAATATCCGGGCCATTCGGTGGCCAATATCAAGAAAATCGTTATTAAATTGATAATTACCAAAATTAAAGGGATATACTCGATGATTACCCAGACATATGAAAGCCGTCTTGTGGACATCCTTCTTGGTTATGAAAATTTGGTTACAATCAGAGTGTACATCCATGAATGACAAGATTTCATGCTTGGCCGCCTTATCTACTAGGAGGTCGGTTATAAGTATGGGGTAATCATCTTTGGGAGTTGCAAGATTAAGATTTCATACTTGCCTGTTTTGCTTTACACGAACAAGGTCCTTATTATTGGTTAGAAGAAGGCCTTGTGTGGCTAATGAATTGTATTGTTGATGACCTTATTATAACAATGCTTCTAGCTAATGAAATTTCCTTTTTTCGATCAGGAAAAAAAATTATATCAAGTAAATTATCCTTCATGATATTTGAAGATTCAAGAATAACTTAAGTATAAGAAAAATAAAACTATAATCTATATATATATATAAAGCAAAAGGCAGAGAATGGTGAAACATTCAAAATACTAGAAAATGCTATTGGCTAATCCAAACATTAATAATTAAAATTATTAATTAAATGAGGATAATATAGTAAATTCACACTTTTTCATATTTAAAAAATTAAAATTAAAAGAAAATTAGATAATAAATCCTATTTTTATGGAACACAACTACCCATTATCTTTTTTGATTCTAAAATAAATTTAAATTTTTTTTAAAAAAGTCATCTCGCAAGCGCGGAAGTGCGTGCAGAGAGACTAGTATTTATAAGTGAAATTCTAGAATTTAATTAAATATGCCACCATTACGTATATTGACATCATCATATATTATTATGAATATGGATTTAGAGGTGAAAAAAAAATTTACTCGGACCAGTTAAACAAATAAAATCAATTTGAGTGCTTTGGTTCGGTTCTTATAGTATAAAATTATAATCTGGACCAAATTGAACCAAATTGCAATTAGTTTGGTTTAGTCTTATTTAACTTATTTGAAAACCGCCTAAATTGAACCAAACCTTTTAAATTAATTTATTATTTTCTGGGCATTGGTAGGTTTTTATTGGTCATCATCATTAACAATTTCTTTGCATCCCACACCTAGATATCGACTACTTAGCAACAAACAACCTAAAAAAACTATTCAAATTTTACGTAATCTCTCCCACACAATTTCTCCATCTTCAAAGGGAAGAATTTTTTTCAACTATTGTTCAAAGTGAAGAAACTTTTCAACTACATATCCGCTTTCCGGTAAAGTAATACTGATATAGAAGACAAGAAAAAGAATTTGTGAGGACCTTAGCACTGGTGTGATAGAAACTGAAGGGTATCTGATGCTTAAGTTAGCTTAAATTAAGCATGTGCATGTATTCAGTTCAAATTATTCTTATGACTCATGCATTCAATTCAAATGATACTTATGACTCGATTCCTTATACAAGAATGCGAAATGGAATCCATTTGTTTTATTGGAGAGTTGCTCTATGCTTTGATTTTTGACTGGCCAAACTTTCAGACCAAATTCTACTTCTTATTAGTCAATTTATTGCAGCTGGTAGGGCCCCTTCCCCCTGTCATGATCCAACGGTGATCTACCTTGCACAATTCAAGGAAAGTAGAATAATGGATACCAAGTTTAGTTTTGAAAAATTTTACTTTTATGAATTAATATTTTTCCAACCTATATACCTCAACATTTTTCCCTTTTCATTCTATCATACAGGAACAACACAATGAAAGTTTATAATAATTTTACCCAAAAGTAATTTTGTGATGCATCGGCTGTACCGATATTAACAAAAGTGCTTTGGGAGTATTTTTGTTTTCAATGTTGGAAGAAGTGCCAAATTTGATCACCTTTCGTCCATTCATTCATAACCATTGTAGCATTGATGATCAATTCCATAAGTCATGAGTGAGAAGATATTTAGGAGAAAGGACAATTAATAGAGTATGATGAAAGCCATTAAAAGACATTAGTTTCTTTTAATTTTGTTATCACTTCTAATGGAAAATAAAAGATTTTATTTTATTTTATATATAAGTGATATTGGGAGAGGGGAGAAACGAACATAGGATCTTGAGTGGATAAATAAATGCTCTTAACCACTTGAGGTACAAGGTCCTTATAATGGAAAACTAAAGATTTTCTTTTACATAAGCGATATTGGAAGAGGGGGTTATCGAACCTAGGACCTCGAGTAAATAAGTGTATATTCTTAACCACTTAAACTACAAAGCCCTTACAATAAATTAAAAAAAAAGCCATAGACTGTCTTGGGAGATTAGGCGTGCTTTAAGACTATAGTAGACACAAAAAATGACTAGTTAAAGTTTGATTTGATTGATAGTGGAGTTTTTAGGCATTGCAGTGCAGGTGGGATTGTATCAGCTTGCATGCTTAACAGAGAGGCAATTAACATTGCCTATAAACAATTAAACAATGCGGGTGGCCCATTTGCTAAATGTGAGAGAAAAGACGAGCAACCTATTTTGGTCATTTTCAAATGAGCAGAACAGGCAACAAAACAAAATTAATTGTTCCCCAAGGCAAATAGGTGAGGTATTAGATAGAAGAAGTTTGAGAACAGAGCCAAACTAGAAAGCGACATTAGAACGATTTGGAATTTGAACCCTATCTTGTCTGCCAGTAGAACATTCAAATATAAATATATTAAAAAATAAGATTTTGGTTAATTGAAACAATCTGAACCGTCAAAGAAAAGATTAAATTAGCAGAGTAGTTGAGGGGCACACGCAATCCATGGAACTAGAAATATATTAACCATTGATTAATTAATTAATTAAAGCTTCAATGATTATTTATTCCTCTTGCTGGTTCGTTTGGCTCCTTGTTGAGCTTTATTGACTTGACCGTGGAATTGGTGGAGCTGGATAGTGACTTTTGCTGTCGTCTTCTGTGCGTTTGGTTTGTTTTCTTATTTTGTTGTCTCGTTATTTGTTTTGCTCGCCGCTTTAACTTAAAGTGTATTTTTACTATCTTTTTCAATATTTAGCACGTGTCTATGTTTTTAATTATAGTTAATTTTTTACTTTGTATTTATGGAACCATGTTTATGCTCATGAACACATTTCAAATATTGAGAATTGTGGTGAGAGTATACTTTAGATTAAAGTGATGAGTGAAAATACTCTCTTTGCAATATGGCTTGTGTAATTTCTAACCAATCCTAGTTTGTTGGGTCTTCCTCTTGCAGTCCAGTTTTAAGAAGTGGGCTTTTCCAATGTTTTTTGTTTTTATCAAAGTAAGCCCACAACCATAGCACAACACCACACCACCCACAGCGAGCCCAAGGAGGATATAATCCAAAGCAAAGAGTGCACACATTGCACTTTAAACGCCTCCCAACCCTAGTTTGTGCCACCGAAGAGAGTTGATGGACGTCGAGGAGCGGAGATTGGTGGTCTAGAACTGGTTGTAGGAAGTAGTCTCGCGCGGTGGAGGATACTATAATAGAGAGGGGATAAAGGGAGTGTAGAAGTGAGAGTTGGAGGCTAGAAAACAGTGATGGTGGATGGGGGAGTAACTGTGGATTAGGGTTTTAAGGCTCGGGCTTAACTTAGGGAAAATTAAATTGAGGATGAATAGAAAGGAGAGAAGAGGTAAAAACCTCATGAATGAGACATAACTCAGAGAAAAATCATCCATGTTAATTCCATAAAGCCATAACACGTTTAACACTAACCTGAGTCTGACATGGTGCTGGTGCAAGGACTGGATGAAGCTGGAACGGATTGGCAGTGCAAAGGAATAGAAGTTCTTCTCCTGAGAATCCGATCCTTATAGCTATAACTCTGATGGGTGAATTTCTGTTTAGCTGTGTTGTGTTATTCGGATCTAGGAGGGAGCCTTCTATTTATAAGCATCTCTCTAAGTGTCTTGCCCATCAAG